GGGGGGGGGGGGGGGACGTTCTTGTAGGGATGCCTCGCCTTTTTTGCCGCTCAGACGCCTCTTCCAAGCCAGGTTTCGGCCACCCCCTCAGCACCACGGACAGCGCCAGGTGCTTTGTGGGTTCTGGCAGAGGGTGTCCAGGTCACCAGTTTTCCTATCAGTCCTGGGATCAATGCCTCAGACAATGATCTCCCCTTCCAGAAGAAGTTCTTATCTTTCTCAGTAGGCTGCTGGAGGTTCTACTCCTTCCTAAAGGCCGGGAATTGGTATGGGGATCCATTTGATTCCAGAGGACAATTCCTTTTTAATGCCTGTCCATAATGACTCATGGTAATTCCATTATATATATAAAAAAATGGACTCTGCCAACTCTACCCCATCTACCCGGAATAATGAAAGTGTTATAGCATTAGGGATTGTTCTCCCCCACACCCTGTCCTTCTCCTATGCAGTTAAACAAACTGGTTTTCTGGACAAGGATCCAGACACACAAATCCTGTACTTACCAATACTTCCTTCCTTTAAGGATTCCAGGCCTCCGTTCTAATCCCCTCCAGGATTTCAGGCCTTCTTTGAGATGCAGCTCACCTGCTTCCTATGCCCCACTTATCACCTGATTATCCATTCCAGGTGTGTAGCTTTCTGAGTGTCTTCTTAGTTCATCCTCCACAGACTGCTTTGCCTGCAAGCTCTTACCTGGAAAATGGCATCAAGGGAGAATGAGGTGCAGGTGCTGAAGAAGAGGGCAGGTGGTGATGGGCGGGGAGGGAAAAATGAAAAGAAGGAGGATTTGTAAGGAAGAAGGGTCCGGTGAGAGGAACAGAAACCAGGGAACCCAGGGGTGATAGTGAAAGACAGCTGCTTTTCTTCAACTGGGATTTAAAAAGCTTCTGGGGGCGCCTGGGTGGCGCAGTCGGTTAAGCGTCTGACTTCAGCCAGGTCACGATCTCGCGGTCCGTGAGTTCGAGCCCCGCGTCAGGCTCTGGGCTGATGGCTCAGAGCCTGGAGCCTGTTTCCGATTCTGTGTCTCCCTCTCTCTCTGCCCCTCCCCTGTTCATGCTCTGTCTCTCTCTGTCGCAAAAATAAATAAACGTTGAAAAAAAAATTAAAAAAAAAAAAGCTTCTGGCCAAGCTCTCTTGCTGATTCCACCATTCTGCCCTTAGATGGTCAGGGCCAAGTGGGAGTGGGGCAGCTCTGGCCCCTCCAAGGATTTGTCTCTACAGTCTTCCAGCACTTGCAAGTTGTACTCTAGCAGATTGTGCCCCTAAGTGAGTACGGACTGGGAAGAGAGGCTGCAGCCTGATCAGAAAATTGGGGTGGGTGAGTGAGAGGCTGTTTGATCTGTGGATGGGCTTTCTTTCTCAGATTTCTCTACTTGAAACTTTCCTGTCATGCTCACCTCATGGAGAGGGGAGTATGACTGCAATGGGGGTGGAGTTGGATAGGTGGACTGTTTGCCCTTGATCACCCTGGAAGAACCCAGCAGAGGCTTCTAGAACAAGCCAGCATCCAACTCCTTCTGATGAGCTCCAACCCATAGTGCTGTCTGAGTTTTTCCATAGCCAGGAATCCTTAAGTTCTCAGCCAGAACACACACGCACCCTCAGCCTCTGAGTAGGAAGCAGAGCAAATGGATGACTAGTAGAGAGGAGGAATGAAAGGGAGTGGAAAGTCCCTTGGAGACAGATGGCTGATGCTTCCTTAGAGCAGAATTTAATGAATGGGGGAGGGTCAGATAGGAAATCTACCTTGAATTCATATGATTGGTACTACTGCTGATGTCTAATATGTGTGTAATGCCTTAGAGCAGCGGTTCTCAAAGTGCATCCCAGGACCAGGAGCATCAGCACCACCAAAGAACTTGTTAGAAATGCTAATTCTTGAGCTTCACCCCAGATCTACTGAATCACGAACTCTGGGGGTGGGAAACAGTAATTTGTGTTTTAACAAGGAAGTTCCGATGCACACTAAAGTTTGGGAATCGCTTCCTAAGAGTTTTCTAAGCACTCTTTACATCCCTAATCTCTTTTAATCCTCACAATAGCATCAAATGAACCAGCAAACAGAATATAATCCTAGTTGAAAATTTATTGCACACCAGGCACTATGCTAAGCAACTTTTTTTCCCCCTAAATTTAATGTTTATTTATTTTTGAGAGAGAGACATAGCACAAGCAGGGGAGGGGCAGAGACAGAGGGAGACACAGAATCCAAAGCAGGCTTCAGGCTCCGAGCTGTCAGTGTCCCAGGTGTCAATTCATCACATCCTTTCACCCTGCAGGTTTTTTCTGGAAGGATGACATCACCCAGGGTGTGATGACCCAGAGGATGGGGCACATCAGCAGATTCTACCCCCAAGATCCATGTCTGAGGCATGGATAGGCAACCTTTCCCACCAAAACCACTGGGATAAGGTATGAAAGGCCTATTGTTGATCCACACATCTAGCAGACAGACAGCAGGGAGAGAACAGATATTAAAACTGCAGGTAAGAGCTGCTGGCAGGACTATGAGAATGATCTGGATGTTTTGTCTAGGCTCCACAAAAAACAGCTCCGTTAGCCATTAGTGATATCTGCAAAGGGAGAGATGCATGTTAGCAGGCCTACCTCCCATCTGTCATCCCTGTCTCTTCTAGGGGCAAGCAAGAGGAGAAACTTTGACTCCTATTCCCCAAGGTAAGACTTATGTGTCTTCTCAAGCATTTTAAATCCCTGACTTTGGATCCTACCCTTTCCCTTCTGGAGCCCTGTCATCCTTTTCTGCCTTCTTCTTGATTTCTGGCTTCCCCCCTCCCAGAGCCCAATGGCCAAAGTGAACAGGGATCAATGTTTTACCTCCAAAGTGGATCTGAAGACCCTGAAACGAGAGGTGACCAACCCTGTCAAGGTAAGGGGTTGACTTTTTCTCAGGAGTTTGGAATCACCAAGAACCTGTTGAAATGAGGGAGGCAGCTATGAAGGGAATGAATATTGCGGTGTGAACAGATAAGCTGAAGGTCTTTCCTTTCCCAATCGAAAGGTACCCCCACCCTCCTTCTCTCTCACAGAAACACCTGGGGGTATCAGTATGAGAGGTTGGGAGGGCAGATGTGGAAGCCTCTAAAGAAGAAATTATCTATAGGTTGTACATAAGCATTGAGTCTAAAATAGGCATTGAGGGGCACCTGGGTGTCTCAGTCAGTTAAGGGCCTGAATTTGACTCAGGTCATGATCTCGTAGTTCATTAAGTTCAAGCCCCATGTAGGGCTCACTGCTGTCACAACAGAGCCTGCTTCAGATCAATCCTCTGTCTCTCTGTGTCTCTCTCTGCCCCTCCCTCACTGTGCTCTCACTCTTTCTCTCTCTTTCTCATCTCTCAAAAATAAATAAACATTAAAAAACAAAATAAAATAAGCATTGAAAATTGCAAAGTTTATTGCCAAGTTTATCTGTCTGTCTATCTATCTATCTATTTATTTATAGTGAGTTCTATGCCCAATGCAGAGCTCAAATTCATGAACCTGAGATCAAGAGTCGCATGCTCTATTGACTAAGCCAGCCAGGCACCCCTAAAATTGCCAAATTAAAAAACAATTAAAAAGTCCTTTTTTTTTCTCCATATACTCCTTTGCATACAGCAAGGGATAGCAAAACTCCTTTGGATAAATGGGAGAGGTAGTCCAGAGGCCTTCACATTCAGCACTCCTTCCCCTCCTTGCTCTACCCTGTGGCCTGGGCAAGTCACCTGGGCAAGGCTCTGGGTTATCTCTTTGAGATGCTTAAACTCTTCAGAATCCAGATTAAAAACACCCATCTAGCACTCCCATCTATCTTTATAGATAAGACATTGGGGCCCAGGCTGGTCAAAGGATTTACTCACAGCTACATAGTAGGTTCATGGCAAAGCCAAGACTGGACCCAGGGCTCCTGATTCCCAGACATTTCACAGGGGCACATCCCCTGCCCTTCCTCTCAGGGACTGCAGTGAGAATTGGGCTGTTCCCAACGTCCAACTCCTCCACATTAACAAAAGTCTTTTTTTTTTTTTTTTGGACTAAGACCTAAATTACAAGAAGGTGGCAGCCAGAGGAAGGTATAAAGGATGGTCATCCCAGGCAGAGAGCAGTGACAAATGTCCTGAAGCAAGTATACCATTCAGGTTAAAGGAACAGGTGGAAAAGTCAGTGGCAGAAGATTAGGTTGGAGAAGTAGGCCCAGGACTGGCCATATAGGGACTCATGGATTTTATTTTAAATGTAGTGGCAAGTTAACTGGGAAGTTTTAAGGAAGCCCTAAACAATCATAATGTGATACATGATTTCAAAAGGCCACTCTTGTGATGTTGGGGTATAGGCTGTGAGAAGAGCAAGCATAGAAACTGAGAGCCTGCAAGAAGCCTGCACCACAGGGAGCTTCCAGCCCTACATGCTCTCCTAGGAAACCAGTCCCCACTCCATCAGATAGCAGCTGGTCTTCCTAAGTCTGGATTGGTTGCTGGGTCAAGGCATCCAGAGCTAGGTGACAGATCCACTTGCAAAGGATGGTTGCCATGGTGTTTCTGTAAATGCAAACAAGGTGCTGCCATTCTTCCCCAGCCCAGAGCCCCAGGGAAAAGCATGGGAGAGCTGGATAACTCTGTGGGAGCCAGAAGGACAGACAATGGGTGGGCTGAGTCATTGTAGCTTACTCAAATCAGGCTGTTATTGAAGCATTTTGTGAGGGAGAGTAGGTGAGGAAGAGGCCACCTTCCCACATACTGATTCCAATCCTTTGTTTCTTCTTGTTTTAGGACTTCTTTGAGCCACCCCCCACTGTGGGCCACAACCTTGTTGCTGATTGAGACCTCATATGAAGCCTCTCTGCCCCAGTGCCTTCTGCCCTCCAGAGGGGCAGTTCTAGGATGACCCAAATCTGGATCATTAAAGTGGACTTTTGTGCAAACTCTTTCTGTGATTTATCTTGAGGTAGGGCGGGTGGGGTCTGGACACGGCCAGAGCCTCTGAAGTGGAAGAGTAGGGGTGGACCAGAACAAGGGTGCAGTGAAAAAGAGCACAGCTCCTTGGTGCTGGTGGAATGCTGTCTTGTCTTCCCTCCAATGACCATTCCTGAAGTGGAGAAAGTGGAGGTGGGACCACAGCTGGAATGCAGCCTTCCCCACCCACACCTGCCTGCACGGTGTGGTCTAGTTGCATACCCTTCCATGTCAGACAGGGCTGGACCCTGCTGTTTTATGAGGGTCTCCATCTCCAGCATTACCACCCCTGCCAGCCATCTCCCACTCACCCTGCTCCCAAGAATCAACAGAGAAGTGCTATAACCAAAGTGTGCACACGTTAAACATTTTGATGGCTCCTGCCAGTTTCCTCCTGACACCTGAAAATCTTAAAAGGGAGTGGGTAATCTGACCAACTAGGTTCAGCCCAACTGAACACCAGAATATCCTATTTGCAGAGCTTTATGCTTCTCAAATATTCTCACACTCACTGGATACTCACAGGTGTAGGCAAGTGGGCAGGTATCAGGATTTGATTTCTCTAAGTATATGTGTGCATATACTAATAATCATATGGCAATAAACATAAGTTTATATACTTTATTGGATATGTTATACGTCAATAATAAAAAACAATAACTAGGAGCCTCTCAAAGTAAAAAATGTAAAAAGTGAATAGGAGAAAAGATGTTTCTGAAATGGATGATTTGCTCTCCCTGCTATCAATACTTAGTATGAAGAAGCTATAGTAATTAAGGAAGTGTGGTGTTGATGTGAGGATATACAGGTAGATCTATGAAACAAAGTGCCCAGAAATAGGTCCACAACAATGTGGATATTTTATTTATAATAAAGGTGGCCCTGCAGACAGAAGGTAATATTTTCAATAAATAGTTCAGAAACAATGGAGTACCCTTACAAGAAAAATTCACCTTTGTCACTTTAACTTAAAATGTACACACAAATAGAATCCAGGTGGATTATAGGTCAATGTGAACAATTAAATGATGAAACTTATTCTACAGCTTAAAGCCATTTGGTGGTTTTATTTCACTTCTCTGAACTTCTATTCTGCAAAACTTTGTAGATAAAGCATTTAGAGGATAGCACAAGAATAACTTCATGTCCTAATAGTTGGAAATGACTTCTTAAGGAGGAAACAAAAGTGAAATAAATAAAGGAAAAGATGGTACATTTGATATATTAAATTAAGAATATCTACAAACTCGGGGCACCTGGGCGGCTCAGTTAAGCATCCGACTTCGGCTCAGGTCATGATCTCATGGTCTGTGAGTTCGAGCCTGCATTGGGCTCTGTGCTGACAGCTCAGAGCCTGGAGCCAGCTTTGGATTCTGTGTCTCCCTCTCTCTCTGGCCCTCCCCCATTCACTCTCTCTCAAAAACAAAAAGAATATCTATAAACTCTTTGAGCTCAAGTAAGACCGTTTTAGGATATACTATTATCTCTGTCATGTGAATGCCAACTTCTTCCAGCTGTCTTCTCTGATAAGAATGGAAAAGGATGAATTTCCTAAGTCAGTGTTGTCTGGTAGAAATATAATTTATAATTATATACGCAATTTAAATTTTTCAAAAAAATAAAACTAAAAATATAATTTTCTAGTAGTCACACATTTTAAAAAGTAAAGAAGAAACAAGGCAAGTCTGTTCTCTTTAAAAGTGTGGCTTGGAGAGATATTTTTTACTTTGATAGCCCACAAAAAATCACACTGGTCTATAATTTGTTGCTGTTGTTTTGCCTTTTAAATAGGCCTTTATTATAAATTTAAAATCTAGAGAAGCTCTTTTTTTCCCCTACCCAATGAGTTCACAAATACAGACATTGGAGCAAGTTCTTCATTTAAAGATATCATTTATGAATTGGTAAAAGATGATATCCTTGGGCACTAGTGCAGCTTCTAATAGGCAGTGCAATCCACAGACAGTCACCATGCCAAGGCCAATAAGGTTACCTCATCATCTAGAATTCAAAGTTTAATTCCTACCCTTAACAGGGAAGGATAAAACTTATGTGGTCCAAAAGGGGAAAACTATACCCAAAAGACAGTCGTGGATGAGTCTCCACATTTTCCATTCAAGGTGATATTGACTTTTCCTGTCCCACTGGCCCTTGGGATGTTTCCCCATATGTAGTACTATTATTCTTTATCTCATTCTGCACCAAAGTGAATTAAAATCTTCTTTGATTATAGCATGATATTGGGAGGTAACCAGTGATATTTAAATATGCTGACTTGTAAGTGATTGAACTTTCAGTGAGAATACTCCATGGGCACTCTTCAGTTTTGATTCCACAAGAAGAGACTAGGTAAAGAAACTGAAAAAAGTCCAACAGCCCTCCAGTTGTAGGACAGCCAGTTCCCAGATATATTTCATAATGCTAAGGTTTCTGGTAATGCAAATAAGAATTTTGTTTAATTCTGACCTGAAGCCAGTGCTCATTACAGGTTACAAACACACCCTCAAAACCACAAATCAACACAAAAAGCATGAGGAGCCCTCTGGACAATCCAACATGTCAGAGGAAACAGGAAATCACACTGGTCCATTATTTTGATGATATTGTGGCAACTGAATATGATGAGCAGAAGGTAGCATGAACCCTAGATGTCATAAGACACATGCATGGAAGAAGGACCTCAGGAAAGCTGAGTCCTGCCACATTAATGAAGTTTCTAGGGTCCAATTGTCTGTGGCATGTCGAGATGCCCTCTCTAAAGTGAGACACTTGCAATGAAAAAGAGACAATACTCTTTGTGGAAGAATGGGCCTCTTTGGCATTTGAGGCAACAGAAAACACATTTCAACTCTAACCCATCAGGCTTTCGTATGGCCTGAAACAAGGGAACATTCTGCAGGAATTCCGAGTAGCAATGCAAGTAGTCCTTTCACTTGATAATTATGACCAGTGGCCTCAGGAGCAACGAAGTGTCTGTAGTAGACGGAGACATCACATGAATCTTCTGGTAAGCCCCAGTAAGATTATTATAAGGTAGATCCCTAGGATTTTAAAGGAAAGCTGTGCCCTTTTAGGCCATCAGCTCTTCTCCATTTGAAAATCAGCTTAGTTTCTTACCAGGCCCTGGAATACTGAACACCTGGCCATGGGACAACCAGTAATTATGCATTGGGTATTATCTGATCCAGTAAACCATAAAATTGGAGGTTCATCACAGCGTTCTACTGTTAAATAGAAATGGTGTATACACGACTGGGCCCAAGAAGATATGGATTAAACAAGTTACGTGAAAAGATAGCCCAGATTCCTTGCTTCACTGCCTTTCCCACAACCTTTTTACAGCTTTCTGGGGAATCCTCTATGACTGCCTAATAGAGTGGGGGGAAAGCACAGAGACAATTTATAGATGTTTGCACAAAATGCAAGCAACAGTTAGAAATGGAAGGGTGCTACATTACAGCACAATTCAGAAGTGTCTGTGAATTACATTGGTGAAGAGCAATCCTTTCTGTGGGAAGTTTTGTTGATAGATCTGGTGGTCCACTCAGAATTGAAGAAGAAAAAAATTGAAGTATTCGTCTATACTGATAACAGTATTCATGAATAGCAGGTTGGTTGGCTGATCTGGGATTTGAATAGAACAAGATATGAAAATCTGTGACCAGAAAGTCTGAGAGGGTTCACTTGGGAGGAACAGTGTGAAGACAGTCATGGTTTCCTGTGTAAATAATCATGAGAAGTAGACTGTAGGAAAGCTTGTCAGTAATGAGGTTATGAAATGACCAATTCTGTGGATAACATTCATCCTCTTTCCCCAGGCCCCCTGGTGCTTTCTTAATGGGTCCACATATCAATGGATGTGGAGCAGGAAATGCATGGGTTTACCAACATGAATTTCCCTCCTCCTGAATGGTGCGGTTACAGCCCACCTGAATACCAATTTGCTTACAGCAGGGGATAATGTTGAGCTCCCAAAATGGCACACCTGGTGACAGAATTTTATTTTGAACCTCTTTCACCATGAAAAAAGGCAGTGAGGAATACCTGGGTGGCTTAGTCGGTTGAGCATTCAACTCTTGATTTCAGCTCAGGTCATGATCCCAGGATCATGAAGTATGCTTAAGATTCTCTCTCTCTCTCTCTCTCTCTCTCTCTCTCCCTCTGTCTCCCTCTCCCCCACTCATACTCTCTTTCTGTCAAGAAGAAAGAAAGAAAGAAAGAAAGAAAGAAAGAAAGAAAGAAAGAAAGAAGAAAGAAAGAAAGAAAGAAAGAAAGAAAGAAAGAAAGAAAGAGAAAAAAGAAAGAAGAAAAAACAGAAGGAGGAAGGAAGGAAGGAAGGAAGGAAGGAAGGAAAAAGAGGGGTGCCTGGGTGGCTCAGTTGGTTAAGTGTCCAACTCTTGATTTCAGCTCAGGTCATGATCTCGTGGTTCATAGATTCAAGCCCCACATCAGGCTCTGAGCTGACAGAGAGGAGCCTGCTTAGAATGCTCTCTCTCCCTCTCTCTCTCTGCTCCTTCCCTTTCCCCTCCCCTGTTTTCTCTCTCTCTCTCTCTCTCTCTCTCTCTCTCTCTCTTAAAAATAAACAAATAAACAGTTTTTAAAAAGAAAAAGGAAAAATGGCAGTGAATTATATTCTGGATATGGATTTGCCCTTTCAGTCCTCAATACTTCTGATAATGTTCACTCACCATTAGTGAACTTATGGAATGATTGTTTTATCCATCCCCAAGAGTTTTGGGACTAAGGAGTAAAGGTCAGAGTGGCCCCCTCACTATTATACCTCAAAATATCTGAAGGAACCTGTGCTTCCCATCTCCTGAATAATGAGTTTTTAGGTCCTAGTGCCCAAGAGAGGAATGTTTTC